GTATTAATTCGATTTAAAGCTGATTTTGCAATCTTGTCTGCAACTTCATTACCCATGACCCCAGAATGCCCAGGAATCTAGACTAATCGAACTTCACAGTTCAGTTTTTCAACTCTAAACAAAGTAATTAAAATGTCATTTACAATATAAGGTCGAGATGTAGATCTCCTTCCTCTTAAGGACATCAGGGCTGCAGCTGAGTCTGAACAAATCACTACTTTATCTGGTTTGACATCTTCGATCCAGTACAATGCCCAAAGTATTGCTAATAATTCCGTTGTAAAAACAGATGTAAAATTATACTGGGGAAGATCTAAAGGCTCCTGAACAGAGTCTTAATGCTTTAGAAGTGTCTATATTTTCTAAAAGAGTCTTGGCAGCAGAGCCGTACACCTCACAGCCATAATCAAACACTGACCTTATCATAGCTTGATAAATTGTGTGCATGGTTCCTCTCTCTGCACCCCATTCACAACCACATAAACTTCTCATTATATTTAGTACTTTTCCACATTTTTCAGCCTCCTAAAATAATCTATCAGAGGCTTCCTATGACTGTATAATTTGTCTGTCAAACCCCTTACTGATAATTTGATCTTTTCCAACTCTAAAAAAGATATTTATCACGTAACCATGAAGTAGGTAAGGGGGGGCAAAGGTTTCTTCCACAATAAAAGTATTCTCTGGCGGGCTATTGGAGAGGTAAATGAGTTACGTTTGCTTGTTTCACTGATATGTTTTTACCAGCTTCAGGTATACCAAATATAGCAGTCCTCTAGGATGGTTCTATTACTTGCTCTAATATTTCCAAAATTGCTCTCAAATAAGACTTCCAGTACTCCCCCAGTCTCGGACACGACCAAAACATATGAGTGAGATTACAAGGGGCCTGGGAACATCTATCACAATCATCAGCCATATTCGGGTAAATCTTGGCAAGTCTAGACTTATTGTAATGTCAACTGTAATGAGCTGAAATTTTGCACAAGATGAACAAGATTTTAGTTCTTTCAGCGCCTCAGTTCACCAATCATCATATATAGTGCTAAGTTCTGCTTCCCATTCCGTTTTAATTTTCATTAAGGCTTTAGGTGCATCTGGAGTTAAAAGGTCATATAAAAATGAAATATGTTGCTTCGTTATTGTCGTCACCAGCAGAAGTTTATAAATTACAGAAGAGGGTGGAATATCTGGAAACGAAGGTGTGTTTGATTTGAGGAAATGCCTAATTTGAAAGAACCTCAAGAGGTGGGATTGCTGTCGGTTAAAGGCCGTACACAACTGAGCAAAGGTAGAGAGTGTGCCTTCACTATAGAAATCACAGATTGTGCTAAAACCTGGTCTGACCCAAATCAAGAAAATAAACTGTGAGGAGTTAAAGAAAAACTGATCACCTCTCAGCTGTGATATAGACGGGGTTCTTGTATACAAAGGGCCTGATTTACTAAGATCCCAATGAAAGAGTACTAAATTGCGTGTTCGTTTCAACAAATTGTACGTTTGGTTGGTGGGCGTTTTGCAGGTGATCTACTAACCTTGTGGAGGCGGTACTATTTAAGTTTTTGTGTGTTCTACTGGTGTAACAACACCACAAGTAAGTGAACCCAAAAGCACGACTCACGACGCAGTCTTTGATGGGGGAAAAAAACAGTCTTTACTCTTGAAGAAGATACAATCCAAAAAAGTGGTCAAAGGGGAAACAAAAGGCTTGAACGCTTCTCACAGGGGTCGAAGACGAACTGGCACAGAAGGAAGGGAAGCTACAGACTAAATAGTAGGGTGAGGGGGAAGACAACGAGATGCAGCTGGGAACAATCAGGGCGGGGCAGACAATCACACAGGTGGGAAACACATGAGGGCAGGAAGTGACTGATCTGAAACGAGAGGAGAAGTTAGTGACCTAAAACAGAAAATAAAACAAGATAGAAATAAAAACAACCTAAGACCCTGAGCTGGACATGACAACTGGTTTACGTCATGGAGAGTTTGGACGGAAAGCAGAATGACTGCAAGCGCAAAATAGATATCAGTGGAAGAGGCATTAAAGGTACAGTATTTTTGAGTTATAGCAGATGAAACTGAATATTACAAAAATAAATTTGGTTTATAAGAAAACCTTGTTATTAAACAGGGCCTCTCTTTTCTTCATCTTTTGAAGATGAATTGTCATACATTGTGCAGGAGGTGTGAGCTGTGTCCTCTGTGGCGCTCAGGCGCGACACTCGGCACATTGTTGAGCAGCAGACAGCTGGCCAGCGCTGTGTCTGATCGGACAGAAAGGCTCTGGAAAGAGGTATCGAAGACGGGGGTACAAGCAGTGGTGAGGTCCCCCCAGTCAAGCGTAGCAGCAGCGGGCTGTAGAGGAAGGAGACGAGCGCACTATGGAGAGGAGCACACCAGAGGACACGAGCTGGGGGAGAGACGCACAACCTGAGAAAAAATAAATCCCAAGTTTAAAATAAAATGTTGGTGAGAAGAGGGAAATAGGAAGAAATAAATGTAAATGTTGAAATTCTTTAGAAAGCAGAGGCTGTGGATGTTCAGTTTTGTTTAAATAGACAACAATATAGTTTAATCATGGTGTTTCCTGCTGTCATTCCAAACATATTAACATGTGTGGAGAATAACGTGATCTGTATGTCTTCTTTTATTGAGTCTATGTCTCCTCCTAACTTCAATAACAGCAGCCTGTTGTGTGTAACACTGGTCTCCTGGGTTAGCACGTTATTTTCAAAGGTGTTAAATTCAGACACCGTCACAATCACCTCAGTTTTTGTCTGCTTGGTAAATCACAATGCGTGTACTAACTTAACTTGTTTACATTTTCTCCTCCCAGTATTTTGCACGTTAGGGCAGAAACGCCCCATATTACATATTCATTAAGTCAAACGTACTAAAAGGACAATGTGTGTTGCTTTGCTCATATGAAAGATTCAATCCTCACTGCGCGCCGTTAGTAGATCAGATAGCACTTTTTTTGCTGGTGGTATCAAGTTTGCACACGTTTTAAGACACGCAAACCTTTAGTAAATCAGACCCAAAGAGTACTGCGCGCGCAGCCAGGGGGCAAAAAGAACGCTTCGTTAGCCATGACAAGTCAGTTGATATAAGTGTAGTTGCTGTATTGTTTGTAAGTTCTCGTTGACTAATTTGTAATAAAATGTCATTTCATAGTTCCATCTGTTTGTCTTTTATTTGGATCATAAATCTGAAAAAAAAAACTTGCTGAAATGTCCATGAATTTGGCTCGTTGTGTTGGCTGTTTGTAACGTTCATGTCCCAAAGGCTAACTAAGTCAATGTAAAAATGTTTACGACGTGGCTTGTTTACGGCCTGCCACATACATTTAGAAGACAAAAATTGACCGCCAATATTACTGTAAACATACTCTACATGACAGGAGACTTGATGTAGCCTACAGCTAGCTTGTTATCTGGGTCTGGTTCAGAAATGGCTGAGATCAGTTACATAAGAAGCCTAAGTAGCTCGGACTGCATCGATTATGCAAATAAATGAGTCCTTAGTAATGACCAGATCCATACAACAGCCCAAATGACAAATGGATTTCAGATATGTCCAAATGGCCCGACATATACACCGATCTCTGAGAGAAGCCCAGTGTGTATATGAAGGAAAATCTGCGTGCATACAAATCCCTAGACGCATATAATGATGAACTTTGTGGTCATGTGCAAGATGTGAAGTTTCATGACCCGAGTTCAGGGTTTTGCGTTTTGAGGGCAGAGACAGGGACTAAAAAGTAAACCTTATGATGCCTGGGTTTACGTGCATAGGGATCTTGGTAACAGCTAACTGCACACAGCAGATATAGGAAGTTCATGTTTCACTCACTTTTGCAAATAAATCTATCCATCGCACCAGCCACACAAACATACCAGACACGAAGTGGACGCTGCACAGACTCTCACCACCTTTAGGACCGCCGGGGCCCCAATCCTCCCTTTTAATGGCCTGGAGCCATAATCACCTTCTTCTTTTCGCAAACGGATGAGATCCCCCCGGGATATGGAACATTTTCCACCCGTCTTTTCTGCGGTTTGTGCAGTTAACCGCACAACAACCCCTCGTCATCGTTACTCGTCTCTGATTGAAATCAACGGAAAGGAGCCCACTTTCTGCCCCCTGGTTGTGTGCGCATATATGCGACGACGTTGCACAGAAACCCGTCTATAAAGACGCTTAAAGCAGATAATCTGTCATGTGTGAGGCTGACATGTCAGAAAATGTGTTTGAAATGCACACACGTTTCCACTCTTAAAGTCATGATTTTGAAAGTAGCATTCCTTCAGTGCTCCGTCTGCACCCACCCCCTCCCCTCTGTGCTCCCTCTAAAGCCACGCCCCCTCCCCTCTGTGCTCCCTCTAAAGCCACGCCCCCTCCCCCTCTGTGCTCCCTCTAAAGCCACGCCCCCTCACTTACATGCACGAGCGCCGTGGCTCCAGAAGTGGACCTCAGCTCATGTTTTGAGCGTGGGCTAGTCCACACAAGAGGTAGAGAGCGAGCAGGGAGACAGGGAGGCGTGTGATTGGGTCATCAGATTGGTACCTCGTGGCAGACATTGGTTGAAGTTTTTACAGACTTACAAACTGATACAGATGATGGATTTTCTTTGTTCCTTTTTCAGAGAACAGGAGTTATTCATTTCTGTCAGGACCTAAAGAGTCTGGAGGAAATTAAGACTTTAAGATGTCTTACCGTATTTTAGCTCCTGTTTTGTTGAGTTGCCTTCATGTTGACTTTTTCTTTTTTAGTGTAAATCTTGTGATGTGTCCTCTCGTTTTGTGGAGCCTCGAGCCGGGCTGTGACACTGAAGACGGTTCAATAAAAACACGATCTAAGAAATGATCCTCTGCACACATTATAATCACGTGTTCCCACCAGATAAAGTTACATTCTGCAGAACTTCTGTTGCTCCAAAGAAAACAGATGTATGTCCCACAACAACAACTAAACAGCTGATTAAAAACAGGACACACACAACATCTCAGATCAGCTTTTTATTTTCATTTCTGCAGAAAACCCACAAAAGTACGGAATAAAAATCATAGTAACTATAAGTGTTTCTCTATAAATTTAGGTTATACTAGCTCTGTTACAATAGATTTATTTATTAGAGTTACTAAAAGATAAAGAAGCTCGGGGGGGAGGTGAGTCGTGTGCGTAGCTTATTACAAACCTCCAGACAAGAAGAGAAAGGAACACAAATATTTAAATAAATGCTTTCAAAGAAAACTAAAAGCTGCGGTGACGTAAACATCAGTGGTTCATCCCCAAACGTGAGAACGCGTGTGATTAATAACCTCAAATACAAACAGGTAGTGTAAAGACAAAGTGTGCAACTGATATATAAGGAGCCGGAGCGAGCCAGCGTAGTGTGAACGAGATGAGAAACTTAAAAAATACTACGAACTGAGAGTCTTAAAAGCAGATTTCTGTTTGTAAATGGGGGAAAAACGGCCAAAAGGATTTCTTTAATTGTTTCTGATGCAACAAAGAATTGTTGATGGAAATGTTTTTACTTGTTTTGCAAAACGCCACAGATTTGCTTTTTCCAGGTTTGAAGTTTGAGTATTTTTCAGTTTGATATGTACGGAGCCCCAAAGAGGACAAAATAAATAAAATAAGCTCATGAGCTGCCGGTACTGACCCGTGAGCTCGAGAAGGTATCGCATGTGTACCAGAGAGTTTGTGGTGCTCACGAGAACGTCTCTCTCCATCACTAGAAATGATTGAATGTGCACCAAACGTTCTCTGAAAGGCTGGGATACGGTAAGCTTCATGCTCTTTTGTCTCCTCTGTTTGCTGAAGATACCTCAAAGACTCTCAGGTGAGCACAAGACGATCTCAGATGAGCATGATTAACTCTCAGGGGAAACTGTGACCACAGATTGAAACTCCTTACACACAGATTTGTAAACTGATGGCTTTTTATGTTTCTCTCACTTTAGCCGTCTGAAGCTCAATACATTCCTGTGCATGTCCCTTCAGGGGCACCGTAGATACGTCTGTTTCAATCCTTTGTAAAACACAGGCGTCCCTGTGGAGTCTATTTTTTTTACTTTCTGATATTTAATCCTCCTCTGTGAAGTGAATTATGTCCAGATTAGATGGACCAGGAATTTAAACATCATCTGCAGCGCAGCTTCGACTTTCTCCTCGACAATCTCAGATCAAAACATCCGAGTTATCAAGTGAAATCTAAAGATTTATGAGAATTAATTCCCTGCATTCTGTCAGTGTTTTCCCTCTTCTTCTTCTTTTTTTTACAAACAGAAAAATATGATTTCAAGACTCCTCACATGAAAATGATCCTTCCATCCAGAGCTCAAACTTTCTTCTCAAACAAACTGAATAAAGTGTAAACCAGCCGGCTGGTTTACAACATCCTAACTCTTCTCCTGTTTCTGTCAGAGCTTCAGACATCTTTCTGCCTCTGTGGTGTTTGATCGTCAGCTGTAAACTGACAGAAAGTAAACACCACAAGAGGAAAGACTCAAGCTAAATAAAACCTGACAGCAGGCCGTTGCTCCACCAGGGGGCGACAAAGACTTTAAGAGTTCAAGCTGCTGCAGGAATCCTTCAACACTTCCTTCATCTCGACTAAACGTGAAACCAGAGCAGCCTGTACCACAAAGCGGCTGTTTACGTCACGCTTTGTTTAGAACTTCAGATGGCTGCGAAAGGAGACAAACGATCTCTCAGGGATTTGAATCCTTCATGCAGACGGAGCAGTGCAGCGTATGATGCAGTGGGATCTCCAGTGAGGCTACACCTGCACACTCAGAGCAAACACAATAAGACACACAAAAAAAAAAAACAAGTTAAAGATGTCTCCCTCCTCCCCGTCACCAGCACGCTGTCGGTGCTTCAGGCTCATTGGAGAGAAACTCGAGAGGCACAAAGTGGTTCAGCTGCGTTTTCCCCCGATCAACAGGGAACGGCTTCAAAACAAAAACTAAAGTGATTCAGAGTTTCAGCGTCTTCACAGCTGCTCTGCGGGGCTCAAACTCGCCACCTCTCTCAGCGCTGGAGAGAGATCTAGTTTACCGTTTCAGTTTGTGTCTGATTCACTTTCATAAAGGACAAGACGATGTTTCAGAAGTAAACGTTTTAAAATGTGACACTTTGAACGGGCGCGGTCGCCTGACCATCAGCAGAGTAAGCACAGAGCATCAGTGATAACCATCGACTGTATATTAGGATGGACGGAGCAACAGCCACCTCCAAGTGAAGCCAAAAAGATTTAGAGCTCCCCCTGCTGGCAGGCTGCAGTATCGGTCATAAAGCCGCCTCCTCCATGTTAACAGATGAGACACACCAGAGATCTGTCCTCAAAGTTCTTATCATGCAGATTTATCAGTGTTCAGTTTTGTTTGAATTTTCTTATTTGACGCAAAAAAAAACCTGGCCTGATTGACAGCTCTGTTGGCCAATGAGGCTCCTGTGTCATTGAACGTTCCATAACCGTGAGCGTCTGCTGCAAACCTTTGCCTTTCCTTGACCTTTTATTGGCAACTTAAATGTGGGTTAGAGGAGGAAGGGGCGGGACGTTAACTCCACCAGTCAGATCTCCTGGTTTCAAACGACGTCGGCAGTGCAATATGTCAGCGCCCGTTGCCGTGGTGTTTTGGCTTCACCTTTGTTAAAACGGAAGGAGGCAGAGATGTGTCGTCCATGTTGATAAACAGTCGATGGTTACAACACACGGATGATTCTACTGTCTGTATCTTCTCTGTAATGTTTAAATCAGGGGAAATTAAATTTAGAGCACCTTAAACTAAAAATAACACGAGGCAGTGTTACAGAAACGTTTCTTTGCATGTGGCTCGTTCACTCTGAAAACATCTGAGCGGAGTGCAGACGAGCAGACGGACACAAACTTCACATAAAGTGCAAACTGACGAGGTTCTCTTCTCACGGCGTCAGACCGGCTGAAGCTCCAAGAAAACCCCGGAGACAGCAGACGAGGCGATCCTCCTGCTCTCCGTTTAGTGGCTCTCTATCACCACAGGCTCATAGCCGCCTGCAGACACCCTGCAGGGACACACACACACAGGGGTCAAAGGTCAGCTGGTAGTTTCGACACATTTGAAGACGTGATGAAAGCAGAACTGATTCAGTAAAACTGATACTAAAACTGAAAGTGACCGATTGAAAAGAGGAAGAGAGAGAGAGTGACTCATAGTTCTTTCAAACATGCAGAAAACTCCTGAAAAACTCCTGAAAAACTCCTGAAAAACTCCTGAAAAAACTCCTGAAAAACTCCTGATATTCTCAGTCTGAGCGTCATGTGATCACACAAACATCTGAATGTTTCTCTCTCCACCCGGAGTTTCTCCTCCAGCCTCCTCGTATTTATCCTGCAGAAAGTCAGAGTGAGCTGATGTGAGAACACAGCAGGATATAATCAGGAGAATTCACCTGGAGTCAGTGGGAGGGGCCAGTGGGAGGAGCCAGTGGGAGGGGCCAGTGGGAGGGGCCAGTGGGAGGGGCCAGTGGGAGGGGGTGGTGACCTTTATTCCCTGTGATCGCTGCACGACCATAGACTGTCTGCACGCCACCTCTACCATCTCCGTGCTCTAATGAAGTTATCTAGATATTTTCAGGATTTCGGATGTGAAAGCGTCTCTAGGTCGGAACAGAAAGGGGAGAGAAGAAAAGAAGGAGAAATAAAAAAATGTCTGCTCACCTGTTTCCGAGCCTGATGCCGCTGAGCGCAGTGGTTCCATCTCTGCTGACGAACAGACGCAGGTTGCTGTCTGAAAACCACAAACACAGAAACACGGTGAGCAGAGCGGTGACGGGAACCAGGAGACATCGACGGACATGTGAGACGATAAAAGAAGAGAAAACACGAGGAGGAGGAACACGAGGAGGAGGAACACGAGGAGGGGAACACGAGGAGGAGGAACACGAGAAGGAGGAACACGAGGAGGAGGAACACGAGGAGGAGGAACACGAGGAGGAGGAACACGAGGAGGAGGAACACGAGCAGCGTTCACCTCTTTAAAAACAAAGATGTCCCATAAACTTTTTACAGGAGGACACTCTCTGGATTATTTCTGCAGCGCTCGCCGTACCTTCAGTGTTGTGAATATCTGCAAAGTTTTGGCTTTGCACGATTTTCTCCACGATGTCGTCGGCGTCTATGCGCGTGTCGTTCACCCAGGAGGGGTGACTCTCCACCGAGTCCTGCTTCCTCCTGAAACACAGAAGAAGAAGTTCAAGTGTCAATCAAAATGCCCTGAGCACCTCAACCATCCACTGGTCTCTGTGTGTGTACCTGGGGGGCCTGTTTGGGGGGTGGACAGGCCGCGGGGGTCTTGGAGGTCTCTCCGGACGTCCGGCGTCCCTTTCCCCCTCTGTGGGCGTGTCAGTGGTGAAGCCCAGCCCCCCCGAGGTGCTGCTCCCCGTGGAGGTGTTTCTGCGGTGTGTGAGGTCTGACAGGCTGGAGGAGCAGGAGTGCTCAGTGCTGTAGCCTGCAGGACGGTGAGGAGACATCAGAGGAGACATCAGAGGAGACGACAGAGGAGACATCAGAGGAGACAGCAGAGGAAACATCAGAGGAGACCACAGAGGAAACATCAGAGGAGATGACAGAGGAGACATCAGAGGAGACATCAGAGGAGACAACAGAGGAGACATCAGAGGAGACAGCAGAGGAGACATCAGAGGAGACATCAGAGGAGACGACAGAGGAGACATCAGAGGAGACAACAGAGGAGACATCAGAGGAGACAACAGAGGAGACATCAGAGGAGACAGCAGAGGAGACATCAGAGGACACACAGAGGAAACATCAGAGGAGATGACAGAGGAGACATCAGAGGAGACCACAGAGGAGACAGCAGAGGAGACATTAGAGGATCAGAGGAGACATCAGAGGAGACGACAGAGGAGACATCAGAGGAGACGACAGAGGAGACATCAGAGGAGATGACAGAGGAGACATCAGAGGAGACAGCAGAGGAGACATCAGAGGAGACCACAGAGGAGACATCAGAGGAGACAGCAGAGGAGACATCAGAGGAGACGACAGAGGAGACATCAGAGGAGACAGCAGAGGAGACATCAGAGGAGACATCAGAGGAGACAACAGAGGAGACAACAGAGGAGACATCAGAGGAGACAGCAGAGGAGACATCAGAGGAGACCACAGAGGAAACATCAGAGGAGATGACAGAGGAGACATCAGAGGAGACCACAGAGGAGACAGCAGAGGAGACATTAGAGGATCAGAGGAGACATCAGAGGAGACGACAGAGGAGACATCAGAGGAGACAGCAGAGGAGACATCAGAGGAGACGACAGAGGAGACATCAGAGGAGACAGCAGAGGAGACATCAGAGGAGACGACAGAGGAGACATCAGAGGAGACAGCAGAGGAGACATCAGAGGAGACAACAGAGGAGACATCAGAGGAGACAGCAGAGGAGACATCAGAGGAGACCACAGAGGAAACATCAGAGGAGATGACAGAGGAGACATCAGAGGAGACCACAGAGGAGACAGCAGAGGAGACATTAGAGGATCAGAGGAGACATCAGAGGAGACAGCAGAGGAGACATCAGAGGAGACGACAGAGGAGACATCAGAGGAGACAGCAGAGGAGACATCAGAGGAGACAGCAGAGGAAACAGCAGAGGAAACATCAGAGGAGACGACAGAGGAAACATCAGAGGAGATGACAGAGGAGACATCAGAGGAGACCACAGAGGAGAGAGCAGAGGAGACAGCAGAGGAGACATTAGAGGATCAGAGGAGACATCAGAGGATGAGAGGAGACAGCAGAGGAGACATCAGAGGAGACATCAGAGGAGATGACAGAGGAGACATCAGAGGAGACATCAGAGGAGACATCAGAGGAGATGACAGAGGAGACAGCAGAGGAGACGACAGAGGAAACATCAGAGGAGATGACAGAGGAGACATCAGAGGAGACCACAGAGGAGACAGCAGAGGAGACATTAGAGGATGAGAGGAGACATCAGAGGAGACAGCAGAGGAGACAGCAGAGGAGACATTAGAGGATCAGAGGAGACATCAGAGGAGACATCAGAGGAGACAGCAGAGGAGACATTAGAGGATCAGAGGAGACAGCAGAGGAGACAACAGAGGAGACAGCAGAGGAGACATTAGAGGATGAGAGGAGACATCAGAGGAGACAGCAGAGGAGACAGCAGAGGAGACATCAGAGGATCAGAGGAGACATCAGAGGAGACATCAGAGGAGACAGCAGAGGAGACAGCAGAGGATCAGAGGAGACATTAGAGGATCAGAGGAGACATCAGAGGAGACAGCAGAGGAGACATTAGAGGATCAGAGGAGACAACAGAGGAGACAGCAGAGGAGACATTAGAGGATGAGAGGAGACATCAGAGGAGACAGCAGAGGAGACAGCAGAGGAGACATTAGAGGATCAGAGGAGACATCAGAGGAGACAGCAGAGGAGACCACAGAGGAGACAGCAGAGGAGACATTAGAGGATCAGAGGAGACAGCAGAGGAGACAGCAGAGGAGACATTAGAGGATCAGAGGAGACAGCAGAGGAGACATCAGAGGAGACAGCAGAGGAGACGAGGTGGGGGTGTTACCTGAGATCTTGCTGTGCTGGCTGGCGTAGCTCGAGTTACGAGAGTGACCGGACTGAAAGACGTCTGCAGAACCGGACTGGTTCACTTCAGATTCTTCAAGGAGACCTGCAGCAACAAATGATGAAGAGAACAAAACTTATTTTATTTGTAAAGGGACCATGTACAATAAAGAGAGGAGAGACGAGAGAGGAGAGAGGAGACAGCAGAGGAGAAAGGAGACAGCAGAGGAGACGAGAGAGGAAAGGAGAGGAGAGGGGAGAGGAGAGGGGAGAGGAGAGAGGACAGGAGAGAGGAGACAGGAGAGGAAACTCCAGAGGAGAGGAGAGAGGAGACAGGAGAGGAGAGAGGAGAGAGGAGACAGGAGAGGAGAGGAGAGAGGAGAGAGGAGACAGCATCATGTCAGAGGAGAAAATGAATCATTTTAAGTCCTAAATCTTTTGCAGCCTCGGACATGAAGCCATTTTTAAAGTTGAATTTGTATTCAAACTGATTTGTCCTCAACATCAGCAGCTTGTTTTATTTATGAATGAGGAAACTTCCTCCAGCAAAATAAAACCCAGATGTGGAAGTCTGGACCGGTCTGGTTGTTGTCTCTAATCCGCTCAGACTTTAAAGATAAACTTGAATGATCTAGTAATTGAACTTGGAGTGACACGCTGTGAGAGACTCGTACCTGAGCTGATGATGGAGGGTCTCGGTTTGGAGGCCCGGCCCAGAGAGACCCCTCCAGCCAGGATGTGCTCGGCCGTCCCCTCCCCCTTACAGTCCAGCTGCAGGGTGTGTTCCCGGCCCGGGATGGAGATGGACTTCGCTGTGCTGGGAGGCCTGCAGGACGCAGAAAAAAACAGATTCAACGAGCTCGGCACGCTCCGATTACTTTGACTCTCCTGACTGCAGCGAGAGTGAGTCACAGGACGGAGGAGCGCTGACATCATCAACGACTCATAATCAGGTCAAAACGACCAGGACGCCAGGACACAAGGGGACTCCTTGAGGAAGTGATTACAGATCATAAAAAAACACTTAAACAGGATAAAAACCTGGATGATCAGAGACTCTGCTGAGAGCCACTAACCCCAAACAGACGTCTGATTGGCCGCTTCATCAACAACCAATAACATCTGCAGAAGACGTTTGTCTTCACTCTTTTCAAATGTGTCTGAACATCCAGCTGACCTTTGACCCCTGTGTGTCCGCTGTGTTCAGCAGATGAAGATCAGAGGAGGAACGTTTCATTTCAAGCAGCAGTCTGGATGAAAGTGGCCAAGTGGCAGAAAAGCGACGTCTGTTCGCTCGGGAGCGTTAGCATGAAGCGTTTGTGCGCTGAGAAAAAAAGAGCTGCACGTCCGTCCTGTCTCCATGACAACGGCCGCTGTATGACCGACACTGCTCCGTTACTTTTTACTGCATGTTTTGTATTTGAGGCCGTTTATTTCCTGATCAGACGCGGAGCGAGGAGGACGAGGGTACAAGACACGATCTGTAGGAGACAAAATAACGGAGAATATCAAACATCTGGAAAAGAGCGCCGGTGACGTCAACAGCGCCTTTCTGAAAAGTTCAAAGATTTTCAAGTTGAGCGCTCGCACGAAGATGGAAGAGCGTTTGGAAGAAGAGACGCTGGGCGCTCTCTCCTCTCTCGCTCAGAAAAAGACGCTAGGTGGACACGGGGACAAAGTGGGGTTTTTTTGTGTTCTGTTGCCGTGGTTTTGGTTGCTAGGTGACAGTAATCGGATGGACCATCGAGAGATCACTGTTGTGATGTTTTATCTTTTTAAGTGAGGGGCGGGCGATAAAATCGTGTTCTGTGAAGGCTTGTCCATGTGCACACTCACGTTTTAAAACACGGATCTCCAGACAGCAGGGTCATCCCGATGATCACCTTTAAGAAACAACAGAAGAAGAACATTGTTTTACAAACTCACATTTTAGCACACGTTCTCTCTATTCTGATATTCTCTGTTTCCCAAAATCAGGAGCGTTCCCTTTTATCAACAGAAAACTCCCACAGACGAGACGGACGACCATTTCAGTTTACCCATATGCACACATCGGCAAAACACTCTCTCTCTCTGTCTCTCTCTCTCTCTCTCTCTCTCTCTCTCCCTCTCTCTCTTTCTCTCTCTCTTTCTCTCTCTCTCTCTCTCTCTCTCTCTCTCTCTCTCTCTGGTGAAGTCATTGTAAGATGTCCGGGAACACTTCGGGGGTAGATTCCCGTTAAGCTCCTTGACGTCTGAGTCTGAACTCTCTCTCAGAGGAATCAGATGACTAAACTCCTCATGACTGTTTTGGCTCTGTGTTTGGCAGAGCAGTTTGTGTTTACGGCCTCTGGGGGGCGCTGCAGAGACATTTGATTCAGCTGCAGCTTTTCACTGACTGCACTGAAGGAGAACAGGTTGATTTACTTTTTCTTTACAGAATTTCAGGAACTTGGGAAAAATAAAGCATCAATAATAGCAGAATGATAAAGTGATATTGGAGTCTTATTTTCAGCTGTAGATGGATCTTATCTTAGGACCAATGTGTGACCAATAATACCACTGAGCTAAGAAATATCAGACCAACGCCCTCCTCTTCACATCTAGAAATATGAATACACACTTTTATCCTCTCTCGTCTACATTACTGTACATGTCTCTATTTCTGACCTCCTTGTTCCATGTTTCACCGCTCGTCCACTCATCTAACCTCGGCCTGCTTTCAATCCCTCGCTCTAAGTTAAAAACTAAAAGGTGATCACGCTTTGTCTCTCGCCCTCTGGGATCTGCTCCCGCAATCCATCAGATCTGCAGAATCTTTGGACCGTTTTAAAAAACTGTTGCAGACGAGACCTCGAGAAACTCTCCTCCACTTCCTTCTGCGTTTGCCTGATCTTAGTTTGACCCCGTCTGACCCTGTGATTTCTACGATTTAGTTTGTTTGCTTTCATTTGTGCGGCACGTATTAGTGCTACATGGATACAGTTTCACTTCCTGAAGTCTTGAAACAAAAGCCCCTCCAGCAGTTTTATGTAACAAAAGGAAGAACTGGTCTTCAACCTCTCCTCTCTGGTTTCCTCTGAACACATCGGTGGAGTGGAAACAATCAATGCAAAGGTCAGAGTCAGAGTTAATGATTGAGCTTGCTTTAGGCACTGAGACCTGCTGAAGGTACAGACGGTTAAAGAGACATATTGAAGAACGTAAACACTAAAGTTCATCCTGTGTTCTGAGCTCTACATTCCCTCGTTCAGTCTCGTCACCTTGAGTATGGAGTTGTCCTGCCGTGTGTTCTTGGTGTCGTATCCCTCCAGCAGACAGCAGCGCACGGTGGAGCCCGAACCCGCAAACTCGGCCATGTTGAGGTCTGTGAAGCCCAGCTGAGGGCGAGAGACAGAGACAGAGAGAGAGAGAGAGAGAGAGAGGGCGAGTTAAATCTAGACTCACTAATGGAAGGCTTCACTGGGATTTATTTTTGGCAAAGTGTTTTTGAAGAGATGAGAGATCTCTGCAACGCCCGTTCACGGCTTTCCCATCACAGGCTTCTGAAGGTTTTTTGTATGAATGACAGGCTGCAGGACCACGAGACAAAGTCCACAGACTGGTACTTTTAAAGAGTCCCTGGAGGATATTTAGATCCTAAACAGTTAGCTGATAATAGACCTTTTTCAGACCAGATAATAACCCCCCCCCGTCTCGCCTTCAATCTGAAGGAGGAGGCGTGATGGGGGGACGCAGGGGGCGTGGGAGCGGGGGAGTGCAGCGCTGTGTGTGTGTGTGTGCATGTCTGACTGTGTGTGTATGTGGAGCTCCCGCTCTCACACTTCCAAAACACAGCAATGCAACGTGAAGTCACAGACCGGGACATCGATGTTACCCTGTTGCTGAACCAATATAAATGTTTTTAGGTGCTGTTTTCTCCCGCTGGCTGGCTCCAGCGATCCCACCTCGCCCCTGTGTTGCCTCTGAGGAGGGGATCACTTAGTCCCCCCCCCATTACACCTCCGCGACATTCATATTGAAATACAGACAAGACAGGGGCGAAAAACATCCTGCCAATGCTCCATTACAAGTTTCAAACTTCTTTATTTAGGACAAAAAAACAGCTGGTACAGGTGTGACAAAGAAGGGAAATTTACTAATCAGGCCAATTAGAGAGGCTTCTTCTGACCATCAATCAATACATTTTTATTTGTATAGCGTCAACTCATAACAAGTGTTGTCTCAAGACACTTTACAAAAAGCAGGTAAAAGACCTTACTCATTGTTATGTTACAAAAAGCAGGTAAAAGACCTTACTCATTGTTATGTTACAAAAGCAGGTAAAAGACCTTACTCATTGTTATGTTACATAAAGCAGGTAAAAGACCTTACTATTGTTATGTTACAAAAAGCAGGTAAAAGACCTTACTCATTGTTATGTTACAAAAAGCAGGTAAAAGACCTTACTCATTGTTATGTTACAAAAGCAGGTAAAAGACCTTACTCATTGTTATGTTACAAAAAGCAGGTAAAAGACCTTACTCATTGTTATGTTACATAAAGCAGGTAAAAGACCTTACTCATTGTTATGTTACAAAAAGCAGGTAAAAGACCTTACTTATTGTTATGTTACAAAAGCAGGTAAAAGACCTTACTCATTGTTATGTTACAAAAGCAGGTAAAAGACCTTACTCATTGTTATGTTACAAAGATCCGGCCTATCCATCATGAGCACTTTAGCAAAGCAGCTAAAGTTACAGTGGTAAGAAAAAACTGCCTTAAAAGCATGAAATACTTGACAGTTAAGTGACTCATGTCCTCCACTTTACTGATCATGAGTTTAATGTGTGAGCGCCGTTATTCTGCAGACATTAAAAATGTCTGAGTTGTTCCCTGACCTACATGCAGCCTGAGATAGCGACCCTGCTTACATGACCCTGATCACTAAATAAACCTCACAGCTTCTTCTTTTGTCTGCACCACATGTTGTTATTTTAAATTAACTCTGCAGCTTTCTCCAGCTAAAGGTCCCCATTCTTCCCCCCTCCAGGTTTCCCTTTCTTTAAGCAGCTCCTGTTTTCATAGGTGAGCGTTCAAGGAAGTCGACTTCTAAGGAGGGAAGCGAGGTAAATTTAGACTGGAGGAAATCTAAATGGAGAAACGTGGGAAACAAGAGGAAACGGTTCCTGTTGGGCCGACGACGTGCAAGGACCAAAAGGTAGTTTATCTTTATGAGAGATGTGGCCTTGTGTTTTATTCACGAGCGAGCACAGTGACCGTCAGCGAGCCGTCGGCGGGGGTGTTCTGCTGTTTCCGAGAATATGTGAGCGTATAAAAGTCGGCTTGTAATTTACAGTCACGCCCTGCGAACCCAGCGTGAACAAGCGGTTAGAAATGCTAATATTTACATGAAGAGGCTTTAAGTTTACAGGCGCTGACATGAACTGGTCTGTTACCGTGACGACGTGTTTATGACACGGAGACTCGGGGGGTTCTTACCTTCGAATATGCTTTTCCTCCTTTGAGTTCCTGCAGAGAGAAAAAAACAGGAAGACAGAAAATGAAGCCAGAGAATCCAAACTGATCCGTCCTCATATTACACAGTCAGGAGATTACAGGGCGCCAAATTACAGCTTCAGACCTCACTCGTGGTTATGTTAGAGCAGACGCTCACACGGGAGGTTTCACCATCGAGACGACGCACAAAAATAACCTGAGAAGAAGTTTGTGTCTCCAAAACGTCTTTAAGCAGTCTGACAAAGAGTCGGCTTTGTCTGTAAGAGGACGCAGTTCACTGGTGATGATGTGCGCCCGACCCTCGAGGGTTAATCAGAAACACAGCAGCAGAGGTTCAACATTACAAAGCTTTTCTCTACAGAAGATGTTTTTCATCATGGTCTAACCAGAAGAAATCAACGTCAATGGAAGACATTTTTCTACATCCCTAATGTCGTCCCCTCCTGGGAGCTCCTGAGCTCTCGGCCTCTACTCTCTAACGATCCTTTAGTTTTGGTTTACACAACACATCGACCGACCATTTTCTCTTTGACTCTTAATCTCCTGAATATCACAGAGTAACCCGTCAAATAAAACTCAGATTTGAACTCATTGGTCCGGTGGTGACGGTGAAAAGCTCTTTTCAGTGAGTCTCTGATCCCCGAGCTGAATCTCTTCACAGTCACGTCTCATGTTTGGAGGCTCGATGCCGGTTGCATCTTCAGAGGAGCTGCGTATCGTAAGTAACACGACGACGGAGACACTGCTGTTTCCAAAACTTTGCATTTTATAGTCACCCAGGAACACGCGTCGTCGTGTAACAAAGATCCTAAACGCAACAAAAGGTTTGAGTTCCAGTTGAAATCGTTGTTGTGTCGTAAACAGGACCTGAGGCCAAGAGTTTCAAAAGACAGGAAAGCGTCCTGTGACTCTTACCAGAGAGACGTACATGCTCAGTCCATCTGGTCTACATTAAAGATCTTTTCCACACGTGTTTGATAACGTCACCTGAGCGATAAACGTGTTTAATGTATATCTATCTATCGCTACAGATCTAACTTAGATCTAAGAAAGAAATCGGTTGATATATCGATATCTGATTTTTTTCTATTCCTGATATAGGCGGCGTCGGTATCGACCCCAAAAATCAGTCTCGCTCGAGTTTTTTAAAGATTTATTTTTGGGCTTTTTGTGCCTTTAATTGAGAGATAGGTGGATAGAGTGAGAAATCAGGGAGAGAGAGAGAGCAGGGAATGACATGTGGGAAAGGAGCCACAGGCTGGATTTGAACCCCGGCCGCCCGCTTGGAGGACGACAGCCTCCATACATGAGACACGCGCTCTAACCACTGAGCCACCAGCGCCCCAGTCTCGCCCTAGTTTTGACTCATTAGGAGCGTAGTTTTTGTCACCGCCGGTTCAAAGACCCCCTGCTGATCTGTGTCTCTGCAGCTTGAGGAGTCCTACCTTCCTGACTGACAGCCTGCAGACGGACGGATCCAGGACTCCCGTGTGAGGGTTGGCGCTCATCTTGGACACGAAGGTGAACCTCTTCCTCCAGCGGACGCAGTTCTCCTGAACCTCCACCCTGTGAGGAGACACAAACAGGAAGTGATAAATCTCAGATGAACACTCACATGGTGCCTCTATGAATGATTCAGCAGAGTCATTAAGGAGGGAATAAAAGAGAGAAACATTAAAGTCTGTTTCCACACAGATCAGAGGTCAGGCTCCCTGTAAACACATCAAAACCTATCATTACGATTCGTTCTGTCCTCGGACGCCAGAACAGCACATTTTTTCCTGTTATATCATCGTGTCTCAGCCTCGTGATGCAGGATGTCCACGGAGAGAAAACATGTTGTGAGCAACGTTTTCCAAAACGGACCCGACCAGCGAGCTGATTCTCATGGCTTCTGACACCGGAGACATTCTGTTTAGGACATTTAGAGGATTCCAGTGATTTCAACCACAATACTGAACTTTACATCACAGCACACTTCAATAGAGTCAGCAGCTAGTTCCTTCAAAATAAAACACAGACTTATGTAGGGGCCTTCAAAATAAAACACAGACTTATGTAGGGGCCTTCAAAATGAAACACAGACTAATGTAGGGACCTTCAAAATAAAAGACAGACTTATGTAGGGACCTTCAAAATAAAAGACAGACTTATGTAGAGACCTTCAAAATAAAACACAGACTTATGTAGAGACCTTCAAAATAAAAGACAGACTTATGTAGGGACCTTCAAAATAAAAGACAGACTTCTCCTAAAGTGAAGCTGCTCCATTGTCCCATTCTGGGCCTCCGTACATGTGTGGTGGTGACTGTGTCTGCAGAGACTCTGTCCTCTGACTGGATTGTACTGTTCTGCTTTGTGACGGTTGACTCGGGACGTTCTTTTGACGACCTTAGAAGCGTGTAATGCTAACACAACCAACATTAAACTGTATCGTGTTTGTGTTGTGTCCTCATGTCGTCCTGATATTAACTCACAAACAGGAGACATTTCTGAACACTCCTTTTCCTGCACGCTCCACCCAGCACCCTGACCTCCCGCTGTGACGTGCATGTGTCTACAAAACGTGCAGTCCGAAGATGAGAAAATGCCAAACTCAGGACTCGACAACAATCTCTCGCAGGTGATTTAATTCCTCTCTCTCTCTCGAGTTACTTCAGTAGCCGAACGATACTGAGGCTAAAAACGGTGCTAAAACAGGGAGACGCCCACTTCAGCATGTTTAAGAATACTTACAGGTTCAAAAGGAACTTCAGAACCCTCACATGCAGGTCCTAAGTATCACTACAGGATCAACACAGCTCAGTGAATAACCACACGTCTAAGTTAAACACCACCGTCTTAAAGAGCGCCGTTCATTTGAGTAAACGTCCCGTCAATCACCAGAAAACCAGCCAAGTGTTTCTCCTCTTACATACCAAACAGGTCATTTTAAAATGTTCTTTGGATTCAGTCCAGACATGGACATGCTGAGAGGGAGAATTTCAGCCTGAACATTCAAATGTTTCTGGAGACATTTAAACTGCACGACGCCTCTTTTAATTCCAACACGTATAAATCACAGACTCACGGCTTCATGCTGAGTGTGAGTGAATCTCTGCTCAAAGAGTGAGAGAGACGAGTGAGTGTAAGAGATGTTTAAACTCCACCATCATTAATAACTAGTTATTTAAATATCTGTTCAAATCGTTTAAGGTCCAATCAGTGAGCTGTGTAGAGAGTGAGATGATAAAGGTATCTTACTCTCTGATCATTAAGGAAACATGTTGAAGTGCTGGCTTCTCTGACAACAATGCAGCAGCCAGTATGTCCTCCTTCTAACTTTAGATTCTGCTCCTGAATGCTCTGGATTTGTTTGGACCAGAGAAGGTAGGCGCTTTTAAGACCCGCCCCCACACGGCCGTTTTGGACGCCCCTCGGTTTGTCAGATATGAGAGCAGTTATCAGGTCAACAGGTGTTGCAGCGATGGAAGCGGTCAAGAGAAGTGGTTCAGATAGAAGTGATTGTACCCGACCTAAAAAGCCTCTGCATGTTTCTAATAAGCTCCACGAGCAGAAACGTGCTCAAACTAGGATCAATATTGGAGATGCTTTTGAAAAATGGAGAGAGGTTAGAACACAGAAAGGTTTACAGACCCATGCAGAGCTGGATAAACACTGAAGCTTCAGAGTCCACCACATGGTGACCTGAGTGAGCATCCACTCTAGAGAGGAGGGGCGGGGACAGATCTCTATGATGTTTAGAATTCAGACTGCAGTACCCATTTTAAATATTTGATCCTTAATCAATAATAAAAGTTTAATTTGATTAATTAATTTGAATTTAAATCAATTCTAGAGTCAAAACAAGCAAGTGAGAGATTCAGCATCAGACAGAAGGAGCACACACACACACACACACACACACACACACACACACACACACACACACACACACACACACACACACACACACACACACACACACACACACACACACACACACACACACACACACACACACACACACACACACACACACACACACACACACACCACAAAGCAGCAGCTGCTCCTCTCACCTCCCCTCCCCCTTCATCATTATCCATCTAAATGTGCCATCATGGGATTTTTAGCACTTCTCTTCTTTTCATCCTTTTTCACAAATCAAGGTGACATTTGCAGAAAACAAATAGGTGCAAGCTTTTTATGGATTCTTTTTGATAACACATTTCATAACAGCAAACATCAGCGCCTGTGGAGCGGGGCATACAGGCGACCACTTAGTAGGAAAAAACAGGATTCAAGATTCAAGTTCTTTTGCTCTGAAACGAGGAGCAAAAGGAGGTAAAGCCTCCGACAGAATCAACACTGATCAGTCTGTGTTCCCTGCAGTGAGTCGTGAGTCAGGAGTCTTTGAGGTTTGATTTAGGAATAATTCAAAAAGTTGAGGTTCTGCATCAAGAAAACACAAAACAATCACGATGTCTGACACCTACAAAACAAACACTTGGAGAGAGAGCCGTGAACATGGTGACCTCACGGGGAGGATTTCTCCTCGTCTGTTTATCCCTGGAAACAAGAGAGGTTCTCAGAAGAGCGGGAACACACACACACACACACACACTGAGCTCTTATCAGGACCCACACTAATGGTCATCTAGTGTGTAGCAGGGAGCGTTCCAAACCACATTCCTCAGTCCAGATGGCTTTGTTCAGACTCCATGGAAACCTCACACTCCTCGGCTCCACACGGCCGCTCGGCCTGCCAGCAGCTCGGAGGAGGAGGAGCGGCCGAGCGGCCACAACAACACTTCAGCCGCTCCGACAGTTTTATAGGCCGTCTCCACGTTCGGGTTTTTATTTCACCTGCGACCTTTACTCTTGTTCTGTTCACTCCATGTATCCTCACACGTTTGAGTGTTTGTGCAGGAGGAGGATGAGGAGTAACATTTAACAGAAACCAACAGGAGTCTGTTTCTGCAGCTCATTATCCAAACTCAGACTTTACCTCCCTTATTTAGGAACCAACGGCCACTACAAACACATTTAAAAAACAAAGAAACAAATGATGCTGCAATCTAATAACTTCCTTAGGCCCTGTGTCCACCTGCCGTCTTTTTCTGAGCGTCTGTGTCTCCATAGTTTTCAATGAGTAGAAAGCGGCCGCCAGGGGAAAAAGTGCAGCACCCAGCGTCTTATTTCTGAGCGCTTCACCTTTGTTTGAGCGGCTTCTCCGAGTTGAAAATCTTTCAACTTTTCCAAATCTTTCCAGATGTTTGATATTCCCCATATAGTTTTGTCTCCTACAGATCGTCTCTTGTACTCACAGCGTCCTCGCTCCGCGTCTGATCGGGAAATAAACGATCTCAAATATAAAAAAAGTTTACACACAGTAAACAAGTAACAGTTAAAAAGTAACGGAGCAGTGTCGCACATACAGCGGCCGTTATCCGCTTTACTGCCCTGTAAATATAACAGGTGGACACGAGGACTAAGACCTTCATGTCATGATGTCAGAATTTTTAACTTAAATTTGATTCTAGTAAAAATCAAACGCCATCAATGTCGGTTTTGATATCACGGGAAAACAAGTAGAAGTTCTCTGTTCCCAGTGTTGGCTAATTCATGTTTTTAATGCAGACAAAGTCCTGCACACATTCCTTTTGATTCTCTTTGTGTGCCTTGTTTTTTTTATAATCGAACACTAAACTTAACCCTTGCTCTCAGTTTTGCAATGCATTTGTTATTTTGCAGTTAATCTAATCGGTGCGATGAAGAAAAGAGAAACTTACAGACACGGGAGGCGAAGAGTTTAATCAGAAGAAAAAGAAACATCTGCTCTGGAGGTTATCGTTGTCTACTTTGTATGATCTGGGTGTTGTTGCACATCTTTTAAGACTTCCAACAATAACACAGAGAAGCTGTAGAAGCAGGCCAGAGAGAGAGAGCAGACACTGGAGCCGCTCCTCAGAGTGATAACGCCTGCACAGTGCCACACAAAGCCCCTCATTGTGCACGTCCTCTTTCATGCAGTCGTCCTGCAGGCCTCATTTTCATCGTCTTGTAAGCTTCAGTCGAACCGAATCAGTGCAAATCACACACAAATTTAAACTTCATTTCTGACCGCCCAAAGCCGACCAGAACCTGATGTTTCCCACTCACACCGCCCTGCAGAGAAAGGAGGAACATCGGGTCACTGAAACCTAAGAGAAGAAATCTACTTTACAATGTCTCAGCTGTTAGATCTCCTTTAACCCTTTAACTCCCTCTGTACAAGACACCTCAGCTGTCTGCTCCTTTATATTCCTTCTTTTATTACCATCCCTATTATACAGATTTATGAATGCTAATGTGCGTCTGAATTTCCCCCCTGGGATACATAAAGTGTTTCTGATTCTTGTTCTTGGTCCTGTGGGAATATTTGTGTTTTTGGCTTATTGTTGTGTCACAGAAGGCAAGGCACCATCAGACGGAGCAGAACCATGGCAGAGACAGAAAGCTGCACACACAGGTCCTGTGGAAACCGTCAGTAAGGACAACCATTAAGGAGCTGGATCATATACAGGAGGTCTGTCTTTCAAGGG